GTCGTAGTAGTAGTAGTAGTAATAGTAAGTAGTAGTATTATACTTTTATTGTACAGTGTTAGCACCAGAGGCGATCTTTTCGTGGGCTGGTTATATAAAATCCAGAGGCGGTCTATTCGTGTGCTGGTTATATTAAATCCAGAGGCGATCAATTCGTGTGCTGGTTATATTAAATCCAGAGGCGATCAATTCGTGTGCTGGTTATATTAAATCCAGAGGCGATCAATTCGTGTGCTGGTTATATTAAATCCAGAGGCGATCTATTCGTGTGCTGGTAACTTTCTAGATTAGAAACGATTTGCATGTGTGTTCTGGTTATACAAAATTTGATCCAGAGGCGATCTTTTCGTGGGCTGGATTATATAAAATCCAGAGGCGGTCTATTCGTGTGCTGGTTATATTAAATCCAGAGGCGATCTATTCGTGTGCTGATAATTAAAAAAAATATTACACAATTACAATTACAATTTTACATTAGATGTGGTTTGCATGTGCGCTACAGTAGTAGTATTTATATTGTTAGCTATCTATTTTTTCAGTAATACATAATTTTATAATTAATAATTTATTTTTAATTGTACATTAAAATAAAGTTAATAGTAGATATCTTGTATCGCCAGTATAATGAATAAAATTAAAATAAATGTGAGACGACCCAACTGGCTTAAATTAATTCTTATTATTATTAGTTTGATGCCATGTACAAGAAAAGACAACGTTTCGACCTTAGGTTTAGGTCCTTATCAAGTCTAAAATTAACATTAAAAAATACAATAGATGTACATACAAGAATTTTGATTTTAAGAAAGTAAAGCGCAAACCAAGATTATAATAACAATTTAAACGTACCTTACAAATTCTTTAGTGCAATATATAATTAATTTTTTTCATTTTACATATTTCAATATAAATACTGTGTCACGTAAACGTTCAGTATGGATGGTAAAGACGAACTAAATTAAACAGCTTTGATTATTCTATCATAGATCGGATTCAAATTCTCTGTGTCTTTCTGTAGGTTGATCGTGTTATTAAATTTTTTTATAAAAAACATTTCAGCAATCTCTCTTTTCCTAGTGTTTGTTTCTCGATGTAAAATATTTAAGTTTGTCCATTTAAAGTCATGCGAAAATCATTTCTATGTTTGCTTATAACATTTTGATTGCTGACATGCATTTTTATATTAAACCCGAAAAGACAAATTACCTAAAGCCGATATGACCGAGATATTTTATAAAGTTGACTGCAATGACTGTGACGCCACATACATCGGACAAACTAAAAGACACCTTAATACTCGGATTAAAGAACATATGAATAATATAAAAATGCATGTCAGCAATCAAAATGTTATAAGCAAACATAGAAATGATTTTTCGCATGACTTTAAATGGACAAACTTAAATATTTTACATCGAGAAACAAACACTAGGAAAAGAGAGATTGCTGAAATGTTTTTTATAAAAAAATTTAATAACACGATCAACCTACAGAAAGACACAGAGAATTTGAATCCGATCTATGATAGAATAATCAAAGCTGTTTAATTTAGTTCGTCTTTACCATCCATACTGAACGTTTACGTGACACAGTATTATATTGAAATATGTAAAATGAAAAAAATTAATTATATATTGCACTAAAGAATTTGTAAGGTACGTTTAAATTGTTATTATAATCTTGGTTTGCGCTTTACTTCTTAAAAATCAAAATTCTTGTATGTACATCTATTGTATTTTTTAATATTAATTTTAGACTTGATAAGGACCTAAACCTAAGGTCGACGAAACGTTGTCTTTTCTTGTACATGGCATCAAACTAATAATAATAAGAATTAATTTAAGCCCAGTTGGGTCGTCTCACATTAATTTTAATTAAAATAAAGATTTATTTTTAAAAGATTTTGTTTTCAAAAATATTTATAAATATTTTTTATAATTTTTATAATAATATTTAACAAAATACTTATCAATAAATGTTTTCTTGCAGGCGACAGTTACTTATCAGTGAGAAGACAAAGCAAGACGTAAAAAACTTGTCGGAGATGTGTCAAATTGTAAGTGATACAGGTATGTATAATGTCGAACAAGATGTTCGATTAGCTAATAAATAGACTCGAGAGAGAAGCATTGAAGATGTTAGTATGGAATCCGTCGACTTTAAAACATCGGATGAATTATTTCCCGATATGACGTATTCAAATATCAAAACAATGCAGTGTCTCGAGTCAAATACATGCATGTATGTCGAACAAGATATTCGTCTTTCGACGATAACGAAAAGTTAATTGACTCGAGAAGCGTTGAGGATACTAGCGAATCCGTCGATTTAAACAAATCGGAAGAATTATTTCCCGATACGACGGATTCAAATATCAAAACAATGCAGTGTCTCGAGTCAAATACATGCATGTATGTCGAACAAGATATTCGTCTTTTCGACGATAACGAAAAGTTAATTGACTCGAGAAGCGTTGAGGATACTAGCGAATCCGTCGAATCGGAAGAATTATTTCCCGATACGACGGATTCGAAAATCCAATCAATGCTGTATCAGAAGTCAAATACAGCTATGTATTCTGTAAAGCAAAATGTTAAACTTGGCATAGATAAATGTTTCGAAAGCATGTATATTGATGATTCCAATGACTCCAAAAGCATGCATTATGATAAATCCATTGATTTTGAAAAATCGGTAGAATCATTTACCGATACAATGGATTCTAATATTCAAGTAATGCGATGTCTAGAGTCAAATACAGATATATGCAATGTAGAAAATGGTGTCGAAGATGACAAATATTATGTTATAGAAAAATTAAAAAGAGCTCTATTGATAAAGATGATATCAAAGAAAATTTGCCTGCAGGCCGTCGCATTATGGACTTCTCTTTTATATGGACTGAGCTGCACAGAATCTTTGACAGACATAATAAAGCACTGGACTGCTCGTCAATTGAAAATTTGTTACTTATAAAGTCTGAAAAATGTGGGTTGAAAACCCAGCTGTTCTTCCAATGTAAAATGTGCAAAACAAAAGCCAGCATTTGGTCAGAACCCACAAAACCGGAAATAATGGACATTAATACGGCTGCTGTAGCAGGAACACTTACTGTGGGAACTGGTTATGCCCAGCTGGAAAAGCAGCTTGCAGTCATGAATGTTCCTAGCATGTCCGAGCCAATGTACATCAAGAGTAGAGACAAATTAGTCGACGAGTTTGTAAACACATCTATAGAAAATATGAAAACGGCTGGTGAATTGAAAAAAAAATCGCTCTTGATAACAACGAAGTTATAAACGGTATTCCGTATATAACAGTTGTAGCGGATGGTAGTTGGATGAAAAGATCGTATGGTACCACGTACGACTCTCCTGCCGGTATTGGAGCCATAATTGGTTACCGCACGAGAAAGGTTCTCTACGTCGGTGTTAAAAATAAATATTGCATAATATGCGATATGGCAGAGCGAAGAGGTATCGAGCCGAAAACTCACAATTGCTATAAAAATTTTGATCGCAACGTAAGCTCCACAAAAATGGAGAGCGATGCCATTGCAGAAGGTTTTAATTGTAGCCTCGAAATGCATGGTCTAATTTTTAAAACGCTTGTTGCTGACGGTGACAGTAGCGTATACCAAAGTATTAAAAATAATAATCCATACGGAGAACATATGATAACAGTTACCAAAATAGAATGCACGAATCATCTGCTACGTAATTTATGTAAAAAAATTAAAACTGTAGCAGAGAAAACTCGGCCAAAAACATCCAGACGGCCTGGCTTAATACAAGTGCGAAATGTAATAAAAAACAAAATTTTAGAAATACGAAAGGAAATAACTGAGGCAGCCGCTCTACGAAGACAAGAACGGCAACCTCAACATCGTCAGGCTATGGAATTACAAACAGATATTTTAAACATTCCTAGGCATGTTTTTGGCGATCACAAGCAATGCAAAGAACGTGGCAAAGAGACTTGCGATGGAGAAGAAAAATTATATAGATTCTTAAAATCACATGGTCTCTATTTAGAAATAGAAGAAAGCTGTCGAGTATATCAAGAGACACGGTAGTGTCTCGCGACCAGTTAAGGGCGTAGCCGAGACACCGTGTATCTTAACGCGAGTCGGACATTTGAGTCTTTATAATATTTCGAATTCTCAATAACGGCTGAAGCAATCGAGTTTATACTAGACTTAATCGATAGATTGAGTTTGAATTATATAATAAAAGTGTCTTTATTTCTGCTCTACGTGATTTGTAAGCAGAGATATATAATTGCAAAGTCGAAATATGAAAAATTTCTTTTAAGAAACGTCCCCGTCATCATTGTCATCATCGACCACGCAAACATAGTAGTATCGTGCTACACGTATTCACACGTATACAACACATGCGCACACATATATCACACGTACACAACACATAAATAGATGCATGTATTGGAAATGTCCATCTCGCACGTTTTACAACAGACGGCGATAGTTGCCCTCCGCTATATTGACAGCGTGCGGGGTTAGATATTTTCAATTTTCAATCAATCAACGTGCGGGGTTAGAATTTTCAATTTCAATTTTACATTCAATTTTAATGTTATTATTTGCAAATTATGGTCATAATATTTCAATAATATTTCAATTATATAAATGCCTATGTATGATGTATGCATATATTTTTAATAATAGTTGCCCTCCGCTATATTGACAGCGTGCGGGGTTAGATATTTTCAATTTCAATTTTTACATTCAATTTTAATGTTATTATTTGCAAATTTATTGTCATAATAATTTATGTGCAAGTTTACAGTCTGTGATACAAAATCAGATATTTTGCTATTATTTCAATAATATTTCAATTATATAAATGCCTATGTATGAGTATGCATATATTTTTAATAATTTTCTTAATTAGCTTCTATATTTTTTTCAGTTGTACATCAAGCAGGTAGCATTATCAGCTCACTTGTGAGCATGGGTTGGGCAATGGCTAGTTATCATCGCAGCATTCGATTAGCTTAACAAGATAAATCTAATATCAGTGCTATAGGAACTATTTTACAATTTTTCTGGCATTTTCTTATTGCAGGTACATATATATCCAATAATTAATATACAAAATTAAATATTATTCATCACACACTTTGTATCAAAATAATATATTTTTTAAATTTATTTTAAATTTATTTAATCATTTTTATCATTGTGATTGTAGTGGCAAGGATCTTATTGCTCAGTGTCATTGCAAGCATCTGGCCTGTATATACCATAATATATTGTGTAATACATTGGCTAAGTATGACAATATAGATTTTGATAGATTCCCATGGAATATTGGAATTTTGTCGGACTTACAGTCATCCACCACATATGCAGCCTACAATTAAAGAACGCATTTATTCCATATGATTTGCTTCCGTTATTGGAATATTTAAAATAAAAATTTTATTAATAAATTTCGATGAAATAATTTATAAGAGGTTGAAGAAACTATGAAACAAATTCAGTCTCATAAAAGGGTAGTTGGAACAATAGTGGTGAATGCAGAAGGTATTACATGAGATCATTGACATGATTTACTTGTAGTTGTAAACAAAAATTTATAAAATTATATTTGTTTTAGGTATTCCTATAAAGTCAACATTAGATAATACGACAACAGTTCAATACGCAGGTTTGATAAGTCAATTGTCAGATAAAGCTCGTTCTGTCGTACGTGACTTGAATCCAACAAATGATTTAACTTTCTTGCGCATACGTAGCAAAAAACATAAAATTATGATGGCACCAGATAAAGAATTCATATTAATAGTAGTACAAAATCCAGTTGATTGATATTTAAAAGAAACAAAAATATATTTCAAAGTTAAGATTTATTTTTTTGGTTGTTAATTTAATCTGTATGCTACATTGGATGTTAATATCTATTCAATTAAATAAAGAAAAATAAAAGAATAAAGCTTAAAAATTATACAAAATGCAGTATTTAATTACTAATTTAACAAATTATGAACTTTTAGAGTTTTTAAATAGTGCTTTCTTCTTTGGTAACAATATTATATTTTTAAGTTTGATAATTATGAAAATATGTATATATAGTAATTCATGGCATGTTTATTTTTGTATTTAATACAATTATAAATGTACATTTTTCATCAATAAAATATCACAGTATCTTTTTTATAATTTAATTTTAATATTGAGATTGTTTTTATTCAGTGGAAAAAAAAATGTGTAGTTGGTCCCTATTAATTATACATACATATAAGAGTGTCGCACAAATAATTCTATGCAGTCTTTTTAAGATAATATAAAAATACTTATAAATATAATCAATTAAAATACATATAATCAAAATTGTATGTATTAAAATTCAATAGCATATAAAAAAGATTTTTTAAAATTATATATATATAATAAAAATCCAACATTTTATATATATATATATATATATATATATATATTTATTTATTGTATATCATAAATATATATTTATTTATTTATATTTACCTATCTTTTTTTTATATATATGGTAGAAATACAATGTATGAGTTATTTTATTTTGCAAAATTTTTGAAAGTTAAACTATTAATTACAATGAAATTATTTCATATAATACCGAGATTCTTTTCATAATAAAGATTAAGAGAGAGTTAGATTTTATCATAAGATTTATAAAAGTCATAAGATAAGGTTAATTGCATATTGTATAGTTTATCTCTCATTTTTTAAAGTAAATAAATATCAAAGTTACATTGCTTGAACTGGTGCGTTTGAAGTATGTTGTCTTTTTGAGGGATGCAAGACAATATAGTACAAAAGCATTGCTGTAATTCCCAAGAAAAAGGAAATGATACAAATAATAAAGATTATATTAAAGTACTAAGCCTCTTTAACTGCAGGAGGACAAGCATATTGCCATAATAAATTTGCTGCAATATTTTCAAAAAAGCAGATAACATAGAAAGATAGATGTTTTCAAAATGTTTTGCTATCTACAGCATTGAGATATATAAAAATGTGCACTATGCCAATAACGGAAGCAAATAATATGGAATAAATGCGTTCTTT